TATATATATAATATATGTATATTATTTATTTGGTACAGGGTCTTGCTGCACAGCTCAGACTCAGACTCATAGTGATCCTTCTGTCTCAGCCTGCCCAGCTCTGGTATTACAGGTATGTGCCACCATGCCCAATTTCTGTGGTCAGCATGGCATACCCAGTGTTCCCAGGTTGGCATGGCACACAGTACCAGGAATCAAGCCTTGGTCCTTGCACTTTCCAGGCAAATGCTTAAATCACTGAGCTATTTCCCTAGCCCCAATTCTATATATTTAAAAATATAGCTGGCAATGGTAACCCACACCTATAATCCCAGCACTTTGCAGCAGGAGAGTTGAAAGTTTAAGCCCAACCTGAGCAAATTAATGACTTGGCAAAACCCTGTCTGAAAATAATTTTTAAAAAAGGCTAGAGATATAACTTAGTAAAAAGGCCCTGAGTTCAATTTGTAGTATCCCCAGAAGGATATAAAGAAGATTAAAATTAAAATCAGAATGGATCAAAGATCTAAACATTAAATCAGAACCATTAAACCCACTGCAAAATAAAATAGGTGAAATAGTTGACAACATAGATGTAGGAAAAGATTTTCTCAACAGAACCTCAATTGACAACTATGCATTGGGGAAAAAAATTGACAACTACTCCTCAGTAAGAGAACTAATAGCTAGAATATATGAAGCACCCCAAAAATTAAATCACCTAAAATTAAAGACCCAGTCAAGAAATGAGCAATAGAAATGAGCAGATACTTCACAGAAGAAGGAGTACAAATTGTCAGCAAATATATGAAAAATGTTCAACATCTCTGCTCACTAGAGAAAAGCAAATTAAAAGAATGCTAGGATTTAATCTTCCTTTGGAAATGATGGCAAATGGTAGCAAATGCTGGCATTGCGGTGGTGAAAAAGAAACCCTCCTGCATTGTTGTTGGAGAATGGAAATTAGAACAACCATTATGCAAACCAGTATGGCAATTTCTCAAAGAACTAAAATAGAAATTCCATATGCCTCTGCTATCCTTCTAGGTATCTTCCCTAAAGAGCTGAAGACATCCTACAGTGATACATTTTATACCAGTGTTTATAACAACATAATTTGTATTAGTTAAATCCTGGAAGCAGCCTATATATCTATCAACAGACAACTGGATAAAGAAAGTTGGTATCTGTATAATGGAGTATTACTTAGCTATGAAGAATGACACATTTGATGTATAATAGGTATTGTGAAACAGAAAGAAAATGTTCAAATGGGGAGGATAACAAGAGAGGGGAGAAAAAAGAAAAAAGGGAAAAGTAAAAAATGAGAAAAGAAAAAAATACCAAGACAAGAAGAAAAAAACCACATTTGAGGCATTTGGAAGGAAACAGATGCATCTGGAAAACATAATATTGAGTGAAATACACCAGACACACAAGCTTCAATACCAGATGACATCTCTCATTTGTGGTAGGCAAATGCAAAGAAAATAAAAGATGAATAGAAGGGGACAAGGGGATGGATCTCTTAAAACAGGCAAGGGGCCCAAGGGAACACGGGCAAAGGGTGAAGAGGAGGAGGAGAAATCAGCAGAATAAAGACATCCCTATAATTATAATTAGGTTTATAAAAACCTAGTGACCTCAATAAGTGTAAACATTATATGCCATAGCATGAACTAAGATTAATAATATCAACAAAAATTAAATTTAGGATAGGGGAATTAGAGGAAAAAGGAGAAAAGGAGAGAGAAGGGAAAGGAATGTGCAGAAAAGAAAGATGCTGTCAGTATGTACAGGTATCCACTCCACAAGATGACTGGAAGCTGCATGTACTATAAACATGTACTAATAAAATTTTAAAAGTTAAAAGATAAAGATAATTACAGCAGATAGTGATTTTGAACTTGTATGTACTGAGCCCAGCTGATCCTGATTGCAAACTTGACTGCATTGAGACCTCTTGAGAGGTGACTTATGAGGACACTGGCCTCGTTAATGGGCTAGCCACTGTCTCTTAGGGGCAGTACCTCCCTAAGGATGTAGGCCATGGGGGCACCTGGACCTTTGCATCTGCTCTTTGGCTTCTCCCTCAAAACTTTTACCCCTGCTTCCTGGATACCAAGAACTACCAAATTTCTCCTTCTCCTCCTCTTCACCTTTTGCCCATGTTCCCTTGGGCCCCTTGCCTGTTTTAAGAGATCCATCCCCTTGTCCCCTTCTATTCCTTCCTCTGCCACACCCTTCTGCCATGGTGTCTTGGCCTTGGAGCCTCCCGACCCTTGACTAAACCCTCTGAAGCCACAAGCCAAAATAAATCTCTCTCCTTGAAGTTGCAGGCCTCAGCTATTTTGTCCCAGCAGCTAGAATGCTGACCAGGACAGAACCTAACAATATGGCCCCAAAATCTAAAAGGTAAATTTAAATATAAAAGGTTGGGGAAAAAACTCCTAACCTGTGAGATGTTTGAAACACTGAATAAGGGCCGGGGAGATGGCTCAGTGGAATTAGCGCTTCCCTGGCAAGCACAAGAGCCTGAGTTCAATCCCCAGTTCCGCAAAAATCAATCAATCAATCAATCTTAGGTGAAACACTGAATAAGTGTTCTGTAAAATCAAGGAATGAATTCCAGGAACAACAGAGGCTAAGAGTAGAAAGAATTTAGTTAGAGAAAGAAAACTTGTGTCTGAGAGGGACAGAAGGGGACCTGGAAAGTGGGTTGCCCACCAACTCCGCTTCTCAAGGGGATTTATTGAGCCAAGCCACAAGGAGAAGTGGGTTCAAAGTAGGATAACTATAACCAATCAATAAGATTACAGGTATAGTCGCTTAGGTAATATTGACCCAATGGAGGAAAAAAAATCACAGGATGGGTGTGAAGTGGGATAAAACTATGGTCAACCAATAAGATTACAACAAGTTTAGCTGTTTGGACAATATTGATTAAATGGGGATCAAATGGGGAAGCAAGTCACAGAGGAAGTGCATATAGGAAGGACAAGGACTTTCCTGGAAGCGGGTGGGTTAAGGAGATCTGGTCCTCCACCCCAAGGTGATGTTGAGCATGTCAGTCACTGCTGTCCATCCCTGGGGAAGTATGGGAGTGAGAAGTTTCCTTTTCCTTGAAGCCTGGCCTGCAGTAAAAGGACCTCTCACTACAGCTGTCTTCTGCACTGACTTTTTGAGGGCTCAGCCCTGTCTGACTGCCTAGAATATTTCTAAATCACTTAGCTATCTATAAAAATATAGGACCAGCAATCTTGTAATCTTATAAAACCAGAACTGAGATAATGCTAACCAGACCCTAGCGAACCCCAGCTCCAGAAAAGCTGGTCCTGTCCCTCTGTTGAGGGGCCAGTGTAATCCTCTACGTCAGAGCTGTGCCTGCTGCAGCTCCTCCTTCCCTATTTTCTCTTATTTTCTAACTCTGTAATAAAACTGTCATGTTGCATGCTTTTCTGTGAAGATGACTCAAGAACCTCTTTAGGGGGACATCGTAGGTCCCCCATCCCAAGACATTAAACATCAGGCAGAAGTTTGGGAGCTGAACCTTTGGAGGAAGTTATGCTGTATGGCATGTTGGTGGGGGCTTGGCTCTTTCTACAACTCACTCAGCTCCACTATTTTTCAGGACCTTCTCAACGACCTCGTTGCTTGTGTGTTCCTTGGAGGAGGTGTGTACTTTGCTACGGAAAAGCGACCAAACATGCCAGTAAACTACTTAATTGCTGTGGTGAGTCTTTGGCCTTTGATCTGTGGATTTGCTCTGAACTCACCTCTTCTGGTTCATTTGTGGGAATATCTTAGGTCTAAAGTAAAGTGTTTTGTTGATTTATTTGTCTTTTTAAGTCAGGGTTTCTCAACACAGTTCATGAGGCCTCAAACTCACTTTGTGTCCTGGGCTGGCTTCAAACTCCTAATGATCCTCCTGTGTTAGCCTCCTGAGTGCTGGGATAATAGGCGTGAGCCACCATGAGTGGCTCAAAGTAGAGTTTAAAAAGAAAGTTGGCAAATGTTTCCAGTGGAGAAGCCACGTAAGTAAAGATGATGTCCAGTGATCCAGCCTCAGTTAATGGCTTCCTTCTTATAGGTGCTGAACCTGGAGCAATGGCTGGGTCTAAAGAGAGAAAGAAAGAGATGGAGTGAAGGGACGGTAGGGGTGGAGAAAGCCAGCATGCAGAAAGGAGCACACTTGGACTCTCTGGGTCTGGCGGCTTGATGGGTTGAGGGGACCTGTCAGGCAGCGTCATCAGTGAATTAGAAACATGGAGGGAAATATGCCATCTTTGGATGGAGAAGCCAAAGTCATGAAGATCTTTTTGTTTTTCAGATCCTTATGGGTGTGACTGCATTTCTTTCTTTAATTGATGTATGTCTGCAAAGAAAACACTTCAAAGGCAAGAAGATCAAAAGGAATATACTGGTCCCTCCACCAAAGCCAGGTGAAAAGCCACCAGAACCAGAAAAGCCAGAGGACAAGGACAAGGCAGACGATAAGGGCAAAGGAGCAGCAGCTGCCAAGGGAAAGGGGGCACCACCACCACCACCACCAGCAAAGGGCAAGAAGTAACTCACAGGCAGCTCCTGCTGTCAGAAGTGGCAGTGTATTTTATAATAAAACATTTTCACTGTCTTCCTTGTTTGCTTCCTGGAATGATTTTCATTTCCATATTGATTATTGTCTTTTCTTGCAAAAGAAAGCTCCCTTGAAATGGATTCAGAAGCAGAAAGTTGGAGCAAATCTCATGTGATTCAACATAAGTTACTGGAAGTTGGGCTGCCCAGGCCAGTGCTGGGCTGAGCCTCTCTGGAGGCACTGACAGGCCCCAAAGAACTGACAAGTTTGGGGACCAGAAATACAGATGACATTGGTGGTTATCACTGCTGACAGGCATAATTGGCAAGAGGAAAATGAAAAATTGGAAAACAACAATGCATTTAATTTGCATTAACTTTTTTTTTTTGTTTGTTTGTTTTACACTTCTTAAAGAATCCAAGCAGCTGTTAAAAGAATGTTCATTGGTCTTTCTTGCTCTTGCTTTACAATTCAATACTGATCCTTATTTGAAGTCTTCCCTAGAAGAAAACAAAGAGATTAGATCATCACCCAAGTCTAGTGTTGCGTGGGCTGAGCAGAGTGGGCCCAGGGGACCCAGGACTGAGAGCTGGCCAGCTGGCCGCCTGGGACCTAAAGTGTCTCCCTCCAGTGAGGACCTGAGCACAAGTCCTGAGCCAGGCTCCAACAGCCTGGTCATCCAGGACCTACACTCCCCAGACAGCACAGCCATCCTGGCAAAAGGCTCATCTTCACAGAGGAAAGCAATGCCACAGCAGGGAGATCTGTCAGGGAGAGACTGGGCCCTGGGCCTAGCCAGGGACATTGTAGGAGACAGGCGGGGATGGGGTAGTATAGGAAAAATAAAGCAAGGCAGACAGGAGACAAGGCAATCAAGATTTTAAAAAAACTACTTTAATAGGGATTGGAGCTATACACCTGTAACACCAGTACTCAGGAGGCTGAGGCAGGAAGACCATTGTGAGTTTGAGGCCAGCCTGAGCTACAGGGTGAGTTCAAGGCCAGCCTGAGCTGTATAGCAAAACCCTGTCTCAAAAAGAAAAAACAAACACACACAGACACACCCAAAAAATTGTACTTTAAAGAAAAACTACAGGGCTGGGTTTATAGCTCAGTTGTACAGCGCCTGCCTGGCAAGTGTGAGGATATGAGTTCAATTCCCAGTAAGAAAAGAACAAAAGAAAAGAAAAACTACATCTTCAGAACACATCTTCAGAAACACCAGTTTATTTACTTTTTCCTTCTCTCAAAACAGCAAACCTGGGCAACTCTCCCTCAGCTGCAACCAGGCCTGTCTGCTCCACTTTGCTCTTACCCATGCCTGGACAGTGCTTTTGGGCTTCCCACAGGAATAGGCCATTGTCCTGTGAGGGGCAGGCCATCCTCCCCTTCCACTAAGACTAAAAGAAAGACTGAGACTAGAGATTGTGGAGATCCGTGGGGTCTGATCACCTCTAGGCTTGGTCTCCCCAAGCACTAAAACTCCCCAGTTCTCAACTGAATTGGGCCTCCTTTCTTTTAGCACTCCTGCTCAGATCTCCAATGTGCCCAGTATTGACCTCTAATAAATCTTTTCTCCTGCCTCTTTTGCTAAGGTAGCCTGGAAATTCTTTTTCCATGGTGACAGCCAGCAAACCTGCTTCCTTATTTCATTTTTAAAAGAATTATTAGCACATGTATGCGTAATGATTATTCCATTGTGAGGAGTTGGTATAAGTACATAACACATCTTGATTCTTCCCCCCTTCCTTCCCTTCCTCCTCTCCCACTGCATACTTATTTTAAAAGGATGGGTTAAGTTCCTGATTTCAGCCTCAGCGACCCTCAGATTCAGCCCAGAGACAGGAGGATGCACTGAACCTTGAAGGACATGATAATGATTTGGCCCTTTAAGTGGTATGGGACTCCCTGAAGGCAAGGAAGTGATATGGCCACTTTTCACTTGGCTACTGGTACAAAGATGGGTAATTGGAAGGGGGCGCTGTTCATGTCAAAGGTCAGGTCAGGGGCGACAAGAGCTAAAGGGCTTGAAGACCTGGCACTGGGACCCACTGCACTGCCCTGGCTTGCAGTTGGGTCTGCTGATCCTTCCATGCCCCACATCACGCTGTGCATCTCAGGAAGTGCAGGCATAGCCTTCTAACTCTCCTCTCCCGAAGGTCTCTAGGAAGTAGACAATTTCAAGAAGGCTGTGTAGATCAGAGACCTTAAGAGCAGACTCTTCAAGTATGTATGATCCTCTGGATATATACAAGATTTGCATGTATGGATTTGATCCCAGACAGAAAATCAAAGACGTAGAGAACCAAATTACAGGATATACCAGGACCCAGGTCCAAGATTGACCTCTACTCAGGCACACAAAGGACAAATCCCAGTAGTGCTGCACACAATTAAACACGTCTGGAAGAAATAAATAATAATAAAGATTAAAGAGAAATAAAATAGAAAATAGAAAAATAGAGCCAAAATTGTTTTTTAAGCTACCAATATAATTGACAAATCTATAGCTAATGCCAAATCAAAATAGAAAGAAGATGCAAATAACTAAAATCAGAAATAAAAGTGGGTACATTTGACCATACCCCCCAAAAATTTAAAGACTAAGATAATTCTATGAAATATGCAAATAAATTAGATAGCCTAGATTAAATGGGCAAATTCCTAGAAACATACAAATTACCTAAACTGACTCAGAAATAAAAAATGTCATAAGGCATAGTAGTGCACACTTGTAATCCCAGCTACTCTAGAGACTGAGGGAGAAGTGGGGATTCCAGGTCACCCAAGAAAATTTAGCCAGGCCTTGCTTAAAATAAGAAAAAGTTAGGGTGGTTAGGATAGATATATAGTTGCATTCTCTTAATGAATAGAATGATTTGTTCTAATGGTGTTTGTGAATAGGATCTCAAGTCCGCATCTTGTACAGCAATTAACCACAAAGAGGAATATATGCAGTGTATTATTTGTTGAAACTATACTTCCGATTTGATTTGAAACTGTCTCATTGCTATCTGTTTATCAATAAAATTTTGGAAAAAAAAAGAAAAAGAAAAAGTTAGGGACATAGCTCAGTGGTAGAGTGCCCCTGTGCTCACTCCCAGTACAGACAGACAATTTCAATACATCTATAACAAACACAGATTGAAATATATATATTCACAATATTCACTATATATGTCTCAGTTATTTTTCTTTCACCAGTGAGAGAAAATATGTGATACCCATAGGGCCGCATGGTAGAGGGGCAACCGTTCACGGCTCCAGAAGACAGCAAAAGCAACACGAGCAAAAGGAAGAAGAGCAAGCCTCTTTTTCTCCCTTGTATTGTATGCAAGCTACCTGCCCTAGAGCAGTTGGGGCACTCACACCCCTAATCCCAGCACTAGACAATGAACCAATGACAAACCTTATATTCAGCCACCTCCAAAAAGCCTGCTCCCCGTGACTACGTGAGGCTTTAGGGGAACGGCCAGACACAAACTGTAGCAATATATTCATAACAAGTAAAAGATCAAGACTAGATGGCTTCATGAATGAATGAATTCCACCAAACATTTAAAGAATTAATAGTGATCCTTCTTAAACTCTTTAAAAAAATAGAAATAACGTTTTCTAATTCATTCTAATAATGCTAGCATTCCTAAATACCCCAGCTAGATTGTTAAACTACAAGAAAACTTCATACCAATATTCCTTGTGACTATGAATGCAAAATACTAGAAAATTGAATCTAATATCCTATTAAAAGTATTTCACGGGGCCAGGGAGATGGCTCAGTGGAATTAACCCTTCCCTGGCAAGCGCAAGGTCCTGAGTTCAATTCCCAGTTCTGCAAAAAAAAAAAAAAAAAAATTTACACCATGATCAAGTGGGATTTATCCCAGAATAGCACAGCAAAGATCTTAAAAACTTAACTGACATGGAAACCACATGGTAGGTGTAAAATTATGACTTGCGCTTAAGAAAGTTGGTTGGCTACTTAAAAAAAAAAAAAATCAAAGTTCTCTATACAAGATGTGAAAAAAAATCCAAGTTCATAACATAACACTGAAAATAAGATACGATCAATGATTATTGACATAAGAAAGACCACAAAAATTTCAACATATCATGAGGGAAAAGATCATGGATAGACATCAATCCCAAGGATGGTTCTCATGTTAGGGTGATTAGACAGAGACTCTAAAGAGAATATTCTAGCCATGCTCTAAGAATCGATACAATAAGTGGGAAAAGAAAGTCTTAGTGAAGAAAAACAAAACATATAAAAAAAAAAGAAGACTTTCAAATTGAATGCAAAGACCAAAACAAAAAAACTCCATGGATGGGCTTAATAACAAAATGGAGATGACAGAGGTAAAGGCCAGTGAGCTGGTCCCAGGCGGCCTGGACAATGTGACAGCTGCACCACGCACATCGTGGATGGCACAGCAGGCACCCCCTCCATGCATTCACTCAGCCAACTCTGGGCCTGTGAATTCTGCACCCTGGCTGCAGCCATCTGCCAGCGTCAGGCCACCTCTCTGCTTTGTTTCCCCTTGGCCTGGGGCAGCAGAGCTGCGGATGGACTGTAGGGGATGGCATCCAGCACAATCCCCTATTTACCTTCAACGTAGGAGAGACTCAGGAAGAATTCAACTTAGTTTGACCCCTGCCTGAAGTGTTTAGAAAGAAGACACCCAGGCTGGGCCACCTTCCCTTTTGGCCTTGCCTAAATTGCCCCATCCCTCACTGCTTCCCCTGCCCTGTCAAAACTTCATAAACATGTAGGAGATAAGGAGAAAGCAGGACCAGTTAAAGGCAATAAGAGCCAGCGCATAGCCATAAATCCCTCTGAGTGTGAACTCGCCATATAGGACATTGGGGGCACCACATTCCTGCCATAAATTCTCACATATAGGATATAGGGAGGCGTCACATTCCTGTCCCATAGCCACAGCAACAGAGAACCTATACAAGCTGGTAGGGAGCAGAGAACTGGGCCTATTGTGTACTTTCAATGTACTTCCAATCTTGGG